TCCCGACGCGTGGGGCAAGGAAAAGTTGAGTCACGAGCAGGCACATTCCTGGCTGAAGCTGAACAAGGCAACTGCCTTCCTGCCTTTCCGGAGCCGGTAAAGAGGGTCCTGTTTGGGATCGATTTAGTGCCACTTTCCCCACATCTCTGTGCTTTGCGACGGTGATTTTGCTGTTTAAACGGGCCCCGAAGCGCAGAGCTGAAGTGCCATGTAGAGTTACCAGAGTGGCTGGGTCGAGCCAGGAGGAAAATGCACATGTTAGAGGAGTTTACTTCCAGCGTGAATTGTAGTGCCGGTGGCCGTGAGGTCAATGTTAATGACACAACGATATATATTAAATAAGATGTCTTTAAAGAGAAACACAGACAAAACAAGGTTATGTATTGATCCGTTCAGGGAAATGTTGACACCGAAAGCTCAGAGGAATTTCCCCTAAAAATTGCAGTATTTGCTAGTTCAGTGTTTATGGAGTCTTTATTGGGTATAACGAGCACAAATAAACAGCATTGGCTCTACCAATCTGACAGTGGAGCTCCCTCCCTCTGGCCAGCTTCCCCTGCAGGCTCTTGAGGCTGCTGCTCCAAGCCCAAAAGGTCTTGGACATCCTTCCAGGACCTTTCCCTGGCCCCTCCCCACCCCCTAAACCTCTTCCATCGCCTCCAAGGGGTCCTGTGCCCACTCGGTGCTCTCTGCCTCAAAGGTCTTCCTACTAGTATGCATCTAGGCAAACTCCTACACATCCCTCAAGACCCCTCTTCAGTGTCTCCTTTCCTCTGTCTCCCTTGGGAAGAACTCAGCACTCTCTTCCGCTAGTCTCTTGAAGTGCTTCTCACTAGATTGTGCCAGATCTGTTACCTCTTCCCAGCAATCACTCTGGGGGATGCATGGCGTACAGCATTCTTGCAATAAGCAGAAATTGACACCCAACTTAGCACTGGTTCCAGGCCCTGAGGGACAGCGAGGTTCTGGACCTGTGTGTGCAGCCCCAACCTCCCTGTGTGGTCTGTGTGTGACGGCGAGTGAGGGGGGCTCACTGTAGATGGGGCAGGGGAGTGGGGGTGAGCACAGCTCCTGGGCACCTCGTCCGCTGATCCCCAGCCCTTTTAGAAAAGGCCATTTTATGCCCAAAAGTAGAGGGAGAGTATGGGAGAAATTGTCTCCCATGGAGGCAGGGGGAGGATGGGAAAGTGGGTTACACTGGGGAGATTGGTGGTGGGGAATGTCCACTGGTGGAGGGATGTGTGTTTGATCATTGTACAAATGTAACTTAAACATGAACGCTTGTAACAGTATCTCACAGTGATTCAATAAAATTTAAAAAGAAAGGAAGGAAGGAAGGAAGGAAGGAAGGAAGGAAGGAAGGAAGGAAGGAAGGAAGGGACATTTTAGAAATTAATCAGGCTAACGAACTATGTCTGTACACCCATGAGAAGCCTCCCAGGGCACTCCCAGCCTGGCCTCCCCACCCATGCCAGCTCACCATCTTTCAACCCAAAGGCAATCTCCATATACCTGAGACTTTTCTCTCACCCACCTTCCTGCTTCTGCTACAGCTCAGAGAGAAAACATGCAGAAACCAGGCAAAGCGGGGGAAAGGGTTGATGTCCATATGTGCAGGGATCACCCCTTCATCCCTTGGTTAAGGCCCTGCCTCTTTGAGCTGGCTCAGTTGGCACCAGCCTTACCAGGTAGATGATGTCGTGGTCCCTTATGGAGTGAGCACAGCACGGCTAGGATAAAGCAGAGCCAGACACAGGCTCTGCACAGCCACTGTGCTACAGACGCTTAGGGCAGCAGGAAATGCCTCAGGGACACAGGATAGCTGCCCAGATCTCAGAGCTGCAGAGTTGCCAATGCCAGGAGCTGCTGAGGACCCTTCCAGGTCAGAGGCCCGCATCTGGCACTCCCCATGAGACTTCCAGTGAACGAGGGGAGCCCAGATGCTGGGGTGTGCTGCCTTTCCTGATCTGATCTGAGGCACCTTCTCCAGTTCAGTCTCTTCCATGCTGGACCTCACCTGGGGCCTTTCCTTTATCTCTGAAGCTAGGGCCTGTCCCAGTTGGGTGACCCTCCCCCATCTTCTTAAATCTCTCTTCTTATCTCTGGAGCTCAGACCAAGCAAACCCATAGCACATAGCAGGGCCACGAGATAAACTTCTCACTAAAAACTAGGGCTGATTGATAGACCTGTATAAGCAGGGTGCACTCAAATAATCCAAACTCTGCAAAATCCAAACTTCTGCCCGTTTTCTTTCCCCAAACTTAGACTCTCTGGCATTAAATAAAAAACCGGCCTGGAGTGATAGGACAGTGGGTAGGGCTCCTGCCTTGCATGCAGTTGACCTGGGTTCTATCCCTGGCATCTTATATGGTCTGACATGCACACATGGTGCCCTGTGCACTGCCAGAAGTAATTTCTGACCATCACCAGGTGTAGCCCAAAAAAAATTAGAGGAGGAAAGGAAGCAAGTGCCTCCCAGAGGAAGGAAGGAAGGAAGGAAGGAAGGAAGGAAGGAAGGAAGGAAGGAAGGAAGGTCAACGAACAAGAGAAAAAGAAAGAAAGAAAGGAAGGAAGGAAGGAAGGAAGGAAGGAAGAAAGAAAGAAAGAAAGAAAGAAAGAAAGAAAGAAAGAAAAAAGAAAGAGCGAGCAAGCTTCCCAGGGGCTGGGAGGTAGGAGGGAATCTGGGACACTGGTGGAGGAAAATTGAAACTGGTGGTAGGACTGGTGTTGGGTATTATATGCCTGAAACTCTTTTATAAATCAAAGATTGATTTACAATCTTCCTTATAAATCACAGAAGAAAGGAGGGAATGAGGGGAGGAATGAGGGAAGGAAGGAATGAGGGAGGGAAGGAAGGAAGGAAGGAAGGAAGGAAGGAAGGAAGGAAGGAAGAAAGGTCTGTTTTAAGTCCTTCTAACAAGCCCCAAAAAACAGCTCGTGGTGGGCTTGGATGTAGCTCAGTAGTAGAGTACTCGTCTTCATGTGTGAGGCCCTGTGTTGGATCCCAGTACTGCTAGGCATGCCTTTCCACAATAAAAATTATTTTTATTATTATTATATGTTTTAAACTGATGAAGAAAAAAAAAACCTCCGGAGCCAACCACGGCCATGCTGGGACCACTCTCCATACGTCCAGACGGACCTCATGCATGAAAGAACTGGCAGAGGAACCCAGGCATGCGGGTCCCGGGGCTGAGGTCTCCAAGCCTACACGGATTGGGACTGGGCCTTCTCCACCCATCTTCCAGTAGGTAGGCATCACACCCACCAGCTGCCACCAGCGCCAGGTTGGTCCCATCAACGGCCAAGACACAGAGATTATAAAACTCAGCTCTCGGAAGCGCGCGGCCGCAAATTGCGCAACATCTTATTATCTTTCCTTTGGAGAACCTGGCAGGCTACAAAAAGTATCCTGCCCACACGGCAGAGTCTGGCAAACTTCCTGTGTCGTACTCGATATGCCAAATACCAGTAATAATGATGGGTCTCATCCTCCTAATCCTGAAAGAGCATTGAAATGGCTCTTAGGTAGAAGGAGACGTTACTAGTGCCTGCTCGAGACAATCAACGAACAACAGGATGATCGTGATTGTGATTATTTGTTTGGGCTGGAGCAATAGCACAGCAAGTAGGGTGTTTGCCTAGCACGTGGCCGACCCAGGTTTGATTTCTTCATCCCTCTTGGAGAGCCCCGCAAGCTATTGAGAGCAGCCTGCCCGCACGGCAGAGCCTGGCAACCTCCCCATGATATATTCAATATGCCAAAAACTGTAACAAGTCCCACAATGGAGACGTTACTGATGCCCGCTCAAGCAAATGGAAGGACAGTGCCACAGTGCATTATTATTTGTTCACATTATATGGATTGATTTGGTCATTCCGCAGAGAGGTCCTATCTGAATCAAACCCAGTTGAGATCAATAATTCCAATACAGGGGCTGGAGCGATAGCACATAGGGTAGGGCATTTGTCTTGCACGCAGCCAACTCAGGTTCTATTCCCAGCATCCCATATGGTCCACTGAGCACCGCCAGGAGTAATTCCTGAGTATATGAGCCAGGAGTAACACCTGTGCAAAGCCAGACAGCAAACAAACAAACAAACAAACAAAATAACCCCAATAGTTCCAATACACCCTGATGATGATGTAAAAGTCCAGAAACAGGGCCCCATGCCCCATGGAGCAGCACAATCAGGGAATCTTCTTGGAGGTAAAGGCCAGAGCAGGGAGAGCTGAGGGCAGAGCATCCAAGTGGAGGTCACTGAAGGAGAAACAGTGTTTGAGGTGGAGGCAAGTTTGGGAGTCATGGAGGTTCTGGAGGAGATTGGAAAGTCTTGAAAAAGGAAAGGCTGCAACGGGGCAACGGAGAGAGAGCAGAGTCCAGAGCACAGCCCAGAGGTCCCGGACCAATAAAGGGATTTCTGGGTGGGCTGAGAGCCCAAGACAGGGCTCAGCATCTCTCGCTTGAGACCAGAGACAGGACACGACAGCGTTCTGGAGGGCCTCATCAGAGGCAGTGTGGGGGGTCTGGGGCCCAGCCAAGGGTAAAGCCAGCGGCAGCCCCAGGCCTAGAGCCAGAGCCAGAGCCAGAGCCAGCCCCAGCCCCAGTCCCAGTCCCAGTCCCAGTCCCAGCCCCAGCCCCAGCCCCGACCCGCCTCCTCCCCCTCCTCCTGCTCCCCCACCCCGCCCCAGCAGCGGTACACCCAGCCCCAGCCCCAGCTCCAGCTCTTCTAGCTCCTCTAGCTCCTCTAGCTCCTCCAGCTTCTCCTCCTCCCCCTCCTCCTCCTCCCCCTCCTCCTCCTCCTCCTCCTCCTCCTCCTCCTCCTCTTCCCCTCCTCCTCTTCCTTCTTCTCCTCCTCCTCCCCTCCCTCTACCCCTCCCCCCGCAGCAGCACACCCAGGCGGGATTCTGCTCCCAGGCGGGCCCTGGAACAGGTTTCCCCGGACGGAGACACGCAGGCACGTCGTGTCTGCTCCTGTCATGAGTCCTGCTGCGCGGAGGGTGACGGCTGCGGCCAGCCCGGAGTCGTCCTGCTGAGCTCCGAGGAGTAGCCGCTCAGGTAAGGGGCTCCCCGGGACGTGGCCACACCCCAGCACCGCTGGCAGAAGTTTCCGTGATGGGGAGTCGGGGGAGGTGGCCGGATGCAACTGGATCCTGGGGGTGGGGAAAGGAAGGCCCCTCCCTCTGCTCCTGGTGGCTCCCCAGCTGAGCGTTGGGGCAGCGCCGCCGCCGCACCGCCTGGAGAAGAGAGGGGGGCTCTCCTGGAGCCGAGGGGATGGACCGGCCCTGCCCGGGCCTGCAGAGCCCCACCCGCACCCTGCACAGCCCCGGGGGGGGGGGGGGAGGGCTGGGCCTCCCGACTTGTTTGCTAAGGAGCTGCCAAGGGTTTCCACCCGTCTTAGCGAGCACTGAGTAAAGACAAACGGATGAGTCAGAACAAGGGCCTCCTGTCTGAGGGGGAGGTGGTGTAGACATAACAGTGGAGAGACAGGGCGGAGTAGCAAGGCGCCCCATCCTCACCCGGGACCCATGAGGCAAAAGAGCATGTGGACCCAGACCAGGTGAGCAGAAAGGTTTAGACTTTTCTAGAGGGCTCCCAGGTACCCAGACAGCCTGCAGGAGTTCAAATCCCCATTCTGTCTCTTTCTAGCTGTGTGATCGCAAGACAGTGAGTCAAGCTCTCTATAACTTTTCTCCTCTGTAAATTGCAACTAAAAATTACTACAGCCCTTCGCTGGATGCCTGTCCTGCTTTCTACACAGTGCTCAAAGTTCCAGACTGGTTCCTGGCCCCTGCTATGGCCACAGGGCTTTCCGGTGTGGGGGTGAGGGCATCTGTCTGTAATCTGGACAATCTTTCGGGGATCAGCAACCCCTGAGAGCTGGCAGGGTCCCTGAGCTCCCAGAGGGTCCCACAGGGAACATGGGTCTCAGTAGACTTCTGAGGAGGCAGACAAAGGACTTTTTTTTTAATTTTTATTAGTGAAACACCATGAGGTACAGTTGTAGACTTACAAATTTTTGTGCTTGGGTTTCAGTTATACAATGATCAAGTACCCATCCCTCCACCAGTGCCCATCCTCCACCACCACGGGTTTCAGTATCCCTCCCATCCCACCCTGCCTCTGTGGCAGGGCATTCCCTCTCTCTCCTTTTGGGTGTTGTGGTCTGCAAAAGAGGCATTGAGTGGCAATCATGTTTGGTCTATAGTCCTCTTTCAGCATGCTTCTCCCATCCTGGGAGGATCCTCCCAACACCCTTTACTTGGTGCTCCCTTCTCTATCTGAGCTCCCCTTTCCCCTAGAATGTGTGGCTGGCCTCCAAGAGCAAAATTCCTGGTACTAATCTCGGCCACTCTTGGGTGTTAGTCTCCCATTTTGTTACTTTATGAAGGAAGGAAACGAGCACCCATCACTCTGACAGCTCGCTCTCTTAGGAGAGAATATCAGTTCCCACCTTCATCACCCAAACCCACAGCAGAACCAGCCAGAGGAGCCTTTGGTGATGTCTTGGCAAGGTTGTTTCAAAACTGATTTTAAAGGAATTCTAGGGTTGGAAAGATGGTACAATGGGTGAAGCACTTGTCTTGCACATGCTTTGAGCTCCTGCACCCCGAGCCTTGCCAGAAGTGATCTCTGAGCAAAGCCAGGAGTAAGCCCTGAGCACAGCTAGGTGTGACAAAAGCAAACAAAAGTTTCAGGGGATCTCTGTGGTCCAAGGAGTTCTGTGGTCCAAGGAGTTTGGGCCATACTATATATCTGCCTTCTTCAGAGTCTATACCATGAATTGATTAGCACAGATAACCTGTTTAGCTTGGTTGAATGCAAAAATTTCTTGAACACGGAATCCTTCTCTGACTAACCCAAACATCAGCCTATAGAACCGGCTTCCAAGGAGCAGCAGTTTGGGAAGTCTTGGAATATTCAGGGCCCTCTCTGGAGTTGGTTCAAAGAAATCCACTGCTTCTTCCTTTAACTTTCCACTAGTGGCTTTGGACCACCTGTGTAGTTCGCGCCTGGTAACCATGCAGACCAGATTGGCACTGAGGGCCAAGGCTCCAGATCCTTCTCTATCCCTGAGTCCAGGCAAAGAGTCAGTTTCTTCAGGACAGAGAAAGTGCTGTAAAAGGAGAGACGCCTGCAAAGGCTTGATCTCCTGAGAAGGGGAGCTTGGATCGAAGCAGAAGAGAAAATAGAAGGTTCCACAGCTTTACCTTCATGTAGCAGTTCAGCAAGACCAGAGCCTAGGTGCTGGACACACCTTCGCCCACCTTCAGAAGTAAGAGTTTGGTCCTGGACTTAATTACCTGTGCGCAAACCCCAGCTCCACACCTAATACTTGTGTCGCTTAGTGTAAGCCTTCTAAACTTCCGCTTCCTCCACCTGTAAAATGGGAAAGGTAATAGAAGTCAGGGGCCAAGGAGGTTAAGGTGCTTGCCTTGTTTGCATGCAGGTGACCCCAGTTTGATCTCCAGCACTACATACGATCTCCCAGCACCTCAAGAGAAGATCCCTGAGCACAGAGCCAGGATTAAGCCCTGAGCATTGCCAAATATGGTCCAACCCCCCCCCACAACCCCCAAAACTAAAAATTAAAATTAGTATCCATAGAAGCCAGCTCACTAGTGAGGGTTAAATACACCCATATACTCCCCTAAAGGGCTCAGTGCCCAGAGTCTATGAAGGCGGAAATGACTGACTTTTTTCCCTGCAGGAGCGGCTGACACGCAGGTCCACCATGAACTGGGGGATCTTTGAGGGGCTCCTGAGCGGGGTCAACAAGTACTCCACGGCCTTCGGACGCATCTGGCTGTCTCTGGTCTTCATCTTCCGCGTGCTGGTGTATCTGGTGACAGCTGAGCGTGTGTGGAGCGACGACCACAAGGACTTCTACTGTGACACCCTCCAACCCGGCTGCAACAATGTCTGCTTCGATGAGTTCTTCCCCGTGTCCCACGTGCGCCTCTGGGCACTGCAGCTCATTCTGGTCACCTGCCCCTCGCTGCTGGTGGTCATGCACGTGGCCTACCGAGAGGCCCGGGAGAAGAAGCACCGGGAGATGGTCGGCGATGAGGGTGGACGCCTCTACCCGGACCCCGGCAAGAAGCGGGGCGGACTCTGGTGGACCTACGTCTGTAGCCTGGTGTTCAAGGCTGGCGTGGACACAGCCTTCCTCTACGTGTTCTACTTGCTGTACCCCCACTACACCCTCCCCCGTGTGGTCAAGTGCCAGGCTGCTCCCTGCCCCAACACGGTGGACTGCTTCATCTCCAAGACCTCAGAGAAGAACATCTTCACCCTCTTCATGGTCATTGCAGCCGCCGTCTGCATCCTGCTCAACTTGGTGGAGCTGGCCTACCTGGTGAGCAAGAAGTGCCGGGAGTGTGTGGTCTCAAGGAAGGCCCAGGCCTCGGGCAAACAGGCTGACCTCCTCTCAGGGGACCTCATCTTCCTGGGCTCTGACACCCATCCTCCCCTCTTACCCAGCCACCCTCAAGACTATCTGAAGAAGACCATGGTGTGAGGGCTCAGGCCCCACTGGAAAGGTCCCAACGCCTCTCCTAGTGCACCCTGGGGTGGCAGAGGCAAGGGTAGCATTGGGGAGGGTTGGGCAGGCTGAAGTCAAAACTGATTCCTCAGGGCCAGAGCAATAGAACAGTGGGTAGCACGCCTGCTTTGCACATAACCCGCCTGGGTTCATCCCCCAAACCACATATGGTGCCCCAAGCAATGCCAGGATTTCTGAGTGCAGAGCCAGGAGTAACCCCTGAGCATTGCCCAGTGTGGCCCAAATAAATAAATAAATAAAACCCAAAAGCTAATTGCTCAGCTCCAGTGTGGCCTGGGCAAGAAAGCCCCTTTGCACTGCTCCCCAGCTGGCTTGTATAATATGGTGACACAGAGACCCTCTCCCTCAGGTGACTGCTACTGTGAGGAGGGGTGTACATGCCCTCAGCATGTGGGACCCCCAGTCAGGCTTAATAAAAACTTGTGCATTGACTTAAAGTGTCTTCCAGTGCTTCCACCTCTGTGATCCTCACCAGGTCACCGGCTCAACCTCTCAGCCACTCCAAAGCTGTCCTTGATGCCCCCAAGTGTCTCCCACCTTGGACACGGCTCCCCAGCCCTCCCGGGGGCTCATGCTCCGGCCTCCCCTCTGCCTCCATTGCACTTTGAGGTCCTGCTGGCCAGCCAAGGCACACATGCTTCTGTAGGGCTGGCTGGTGCTGGGAAGTACCACCACTTAGAACACCTGCCGAGAGTCCAGCTTCTGCTGGGAAAGTGACTTCTCCCCCAAGCGGGTTAATCACAGCCGCCTGGGGGTTTGCCATGATTACTGGATGAGCTCACGACTGCGGACAGGGTTCACTAGCTGCAAAGGCCACATAAATGTTAACTACTGGTATTAGGAAGTGCTCCAGAGGTGCTTGTGGGGAATGAGGCAGTGGAGCCCCTCCCTGGCTACATATTAACTTCACTATCCCAATCAGGGCCCCACAGCAGCCCCCAGCTGTCATTCTGCGACCACCCTGGCAGCCCAGTGGAGCGCCCACAGGCCTGGCCCAGAGGACAGGGTCTGGCTGCTCGCCCAGTGCCAGCTGGGGCCTTCCTCACGGCGGGCTCGCATTCCTTATCTCCATCAAGGCAGTGAGTGGCCTTGTCGAAACAAGTCATAGTAGTCCCTGCCATCACCTGCCTCACCACTTACAGGCGGCAAAGCCTCTGGTCCCCCAAAATGTCCCCACTGGCCAGACTATGCTCAACCTCAGTTGGACTCCCCTAAATCTAAATGTCGGCGACTCAGGCCCTCAGAGGTGAAAAAGGCAGAAGGAAAACTGGGGACAGACCGACGAGGACAACAGACCTATGGGAAGGAGTCAGGGGCTCCACAGATGCTGAGCTGGCTCGGCGGGGCAGGAGAATCCCAGGATCCTGCCCCACCCCCGCCAGCCAGCCCGCTCCGCAGTCTCTCCCACATACCTGTGGGCCCCAAGTGCTCGCTCAGATGGGCCCTGCCCAACCCCACTGGAGGAAAGGCGTGGGCCAGGCGAGAGGAGCCGCAGGTGTTCTGAATATGTGCCCGGGGAAGTCCGCCCGCAGCCTGCCCACCCCCTTGCGCACCCTTGGCTCATTGGTTCAGAAAGCCCCACCCAGTAGGGGAGCGAGGAACAAAAGCTGCCTCTGGGAGGCCCCGGGGCAGACCAGACTAGCCCTGGACAGGAACACTGCTGAGCCCCCAAACAAGGTGAGGACCGGGCAGGACCGGGCTGGGCAGCGGGGATAAGTTGTGCCATGGGCAGGACTTTAAGGAGGCGCCTGAGGGTCAGGGTCCCAGGGAAAATGCCAGGGAGGCTCTAGGAGGGGGAGGGACATTCTGCTGGGCCCCATCGAGGACCAGAGAGGAGAGGGAGGAGACAGGGTCCCCAAGAGGGTTTGGTGAGACCTGGGACAGAGGCCGAGGTGCGGAGGTTGCCCTCCTGAGGGTCATGATCTGGCACGGAGGATGGGGAAATGAGTCTTTGGGTGCCGCGGACGCACTTGGCCTCCAAAGATAAAGGGGGTGGGGGTGCTCTAGAACTGTGCTGGGGCACAGGGTGCCTGCAGGGGGGCTGGAATTGGGCAGGGGACGGACTGGCTCTCCAGGTAAGGGCAGGTGAGCGCCAGAGTGCAGGGTTGCGGATGAACAGAGACAGCAGGAGCCCTGGTGAGTGTGGAGGCAGCACCCTCGCAGAACCTGCCCTCTTCCTTCCGCATGCAGGAATGCTGGAATCCCCGGGAACCAGGCACAGATCTTTCCGTCCTGTGTTCGAGACAGCCCTGGGGCTCAGTGCCGGAAGATGAGGCCAAGGCACCATGGTTTCGAAGAGCCAGTTCAGTTTGGGAGTGACTGGCCTGGTTGGAGGCGACCTAGGGCCAAAGAGGAGGAATGAACATAAGGAGGGTGCCGAGGTCTGTGCAAGTGGCAGTCAGCATAGGGCCTATCCGTTGTGGGTGTTCATGGAAATCGGGGGCAGGGTTCCCTGAGTGGGGGGCAGGCCTCCTGTCCTGCCTTCGATAGATAAGCCAATCTTGCCATTCCATACAGCTCTTTAGAACTCATGTGACCCACAGGGCTGAAACTTGGTGTCAGAGAGGGTTGGCAGGGAGTGTCTGAGGTGACTTTCCTTCACTGATCTATTACTTTGTAGAATAAAATATTCCCTCATTCTGGAACCTCAAGAGGGACATTCAAGACTGACGTGGCCACATCCAGCTGTGAGGCCTTGAGTGGGAGTCTTTCTGGTCCTGAACTTGCACCCCTGTGGCCTGGGGATCATGGCTGTCACTGCCCCGCAGAGCCTGGCGGGCGAGGGTACGACACGGTGGTCGTGAAGGAATTCTGCACCTTAATCCCAAGCACCCTTCTCTGGGTTCTCCTGGGCCCTGTGGCACCCCCCTCCCCAAGCCCCCCTCCAGCTCCTGGCCCTGAGGGCACACGCGGGCAGGGTTCCTGAAGAACCAAGGAGGCCCTCAGCATGAACTGGGCATCCCTCCAGAAACTCCTGAGTGGGGTCAACAAGTACTCCACGGCCGTGAGCCGCATCTGGCTGTCGGTGGTGTTCATCTTCCGTGTGCTGGTGTATGTGGTGGCGGCCGAGGACGTGTGGGATGACGAGCAGAAGGACTTCGTCTGCAACACCAAGCAGCCCGGCTGCCCCAATGTCTGCTACGACCATTTCTTCCCCGTGTCCCACGTGCGCCTCTGGGCACTGCAGCTCATCCTGGTCACCTGCCCCTCGCTGCTGGTGGTCATGCACGTGGCCTACCGCGAGGATCGTGAGCGCAAGCACCGCCTGAAACACGGGCCCAATGCCCCGTCCTTGTACGAGAACCCCAGCAAGAAGCGGGGTGGGCTCTGGTGGACATACCTGCTGAGTCTCATCTTCAAGGCGGCCGTGGACTCAGGCTTCCTCTACATCTTCCACCGCCTCTACCAGAATTACGACATGCCCCGCGTGGTGGCCTGCACCCAGAACCCCTGCCCCCACACTGTGGACTGCTACATCTCACGGCCCACGGAGAAGAAGGTCTTCACCTACTTCATGGTGGCCACGGCGATCATCTGCATCCTGCTCAACCTCAGCGAGGTCATCTTCCTGGTCACCAAGAGGTGCCTAGAGACTCTGGGGCCCCGGCGTCGGCGCTCCCGGCACAGAAACCACCTCCCCGACACCTGCCCACCTTATGTCCCCTCCCCCGGGGAGCACCCCCAAGACGGGAACTCTGTCCTGATGAAGGCAGGCTCAATCACGCTGGACGTGGGTGGTTATGCGTGACCTGAAAGCAAGGTCCTGGGGTCACCAGGTCCCCCACCTGCTCCCTTACAGCTTACAGCTGGGACAAGGCACCTTCTCTGCAACAGGGCAAGGGAAGAGTGTGTTGGGGGGTGGGGGGCGGGGTCAGCGTGCTCAGGAAACCTAGCCAGGGGCCAGTGCTGCAGAGCAATTCTGGGTCCTGAGGCTCAGGAAAAAGAAGCGGTTGGTTGGGGGGAGGGAGGGATTTTGTATCTGGCAATAGGGTCTTGCCAAACTCTTAATAAATGAGATTTTCCCAGTATTTTGTAAGCAGAGTGGGGCGTGTGAGATGGGAAGACTAGTGGGTTCAGTCTGGGACCTCAGAGAGGGGGCCCAAGATGACTTTGTGGGCACCTGAGCCCCAAAACACTTCAGACCCAGTTTCTGTGGCAGCACTCTCTGTCTCTCTCTCAGATACTCACACACACACACACACACACACACACACACACACACATTGTGTCCCAGGTGTGGAGGAAAGTTCCCAATGACAGCGGCTACTCTGGGGGCTCTCTGGGCTCTGCCATCAGCCAGCCCCAGAGAGAGGTTCCCCCAAAAAGCCTGTGCCTAGAGTGGGGATTCTCAGTAAATATCCACCAGACAAAAGAATGCGCTCACAGTTTGTGGGGGTTTTCCCCATCTCAGCCTCCCTACCCCCAGGACAGGCCCCAGGTTGGGAAAGCCCTCCTGAGGGTGGGAGGCGGGTCCAGGACGGGGATCCTCCAGAGTGTAGAAAGCAGGTCCCCATGCTCAAGGACTGGCTGGGAGTTCTGCCCAGGTCAAGTCTGAGGAGTGTTCCGGGAGAGACATCCCCATTCTCTCTCAAACCCTACCACTCAGGCTTGGGGCACCCCCAAATACTCTCACAGCTGCACCAACCTCTGAGCCCCAGGGCCCTGGAGCCACCACAAGATCAACCTCCCAGATCTGTCACTCGCCAGCTCCCAAGCATGTCATGTCATCTCCCAGATCCTACCTACCCTCCCATAAGTGGCATCACTGCCCACCCAGTTATCCAAGTCAAAAACTGGCCCAATCCTTATCCCTACCCTCCTCATCCCTGTTCGTCCCGGCCCACATACCTTACCCACACACCTTTACTGCCTCTGGACCACTCCCCACTGACCTCTACCAAGGACACAGACTGGTTATTCTCTACATAAATGTGACCATGTCATTCCTCTGCTTTCACAAAATTTCCTCACCACCGATCTTTCCCCAGGACCCCTGACCTC